AAATGAGGTGTCTTCCGGGGAGTCTTTCCAACAAGGTGTCTTCCGGGGAGTCTTTCCACTTGGAAACCTTATCGTCAATGATGCCAGCCTTCCAGGAACGGCCAGAAAGCTGCTTAACTCAGAGCGCCTGAAAATTTGTACATGTGAAATGACAACAGTAGAAATGGATACTAGTTGCAATACCAGTAATTTTTTAAACAGAAAAATAAATGGGCCCCTCTCCTGCCTCAGCTCCTAGGCTGGACCTGACACCCTAGCCCCCTTTGCCACACACCCCCCCTCCTCTTCTACCCCTGGAAGCGTCTCACTGAGCCTCTGTGAGTGCTGTGTGGCCTTGGCTTCCATGGCGGGCTCAGCCTGCTCTGGGTTTGTGTCCCCATCACACTGGGTTCCCACTGGGTTGTAACTTAGGTGTATGGGTGTCAAGCTCTGCCCTAGACAGAGGGTGCACAGGACAGGGCCTGGCCCTGAGCAATGCCCTGGACAGGTTTGTTGAATGAAGGAACAAGTGACCTGAAGTTCCTTGTGGGTCACTGGAGGGACTTCTGGACTCCTGTAGGGATTAGAGGTGCTGGCCCGGGTGCTTTGCATCTGTGAGCCTAAGGCCTTCTTGCTTTGACGTAGGTCTCCCCATGGGGGTTTGAGGGAGCTGCCCAGCCACAGGGCAGTGGGAAGGGGAATGAGGAAAAGAACGTGCTGGACACAAAGTAGAGATGAGAGCTAGTGAGTCAGGCTGAACTGGTGGGAAAGTCCTTGGGGTAGAGTCCCCTGTCGCCACCCAGCCCTCTGCACCCCGCTTCTGGAGCTGCAGCCCTAACAGGGGCCAGATCCAAGAATGGACTCTATGCTGCTGGAGGGCTCCCTGCTCCTGTCCCTCCTCCTAGTCCCACTCCCCATCCTTCCCGACTGTCCCCATGCTGCCCCCTCCCAGAGCAGGCGCCCTCCACAGATCTCCTCATCCATCACCACACACCCCCTCAGGGTCTGTATCTGCTCCATCTCCCCTTGCTGGACCCTTGTTGCTCTCTGCAAATCCCCCAAGCCCCTAGAAAAGAAACCTACAGAGAGAGGGGCTCAGTAAGTGTTTATGGCAAAACAGCTGTTTTCAACCAACATCTTATTCTTTGCAAAACGCTTTCATCTCTTGTTACCCCAGTTGTTCATCAAACCTGTTCGAGGTGGGTATTCACCCCCTTTCATACAGTAGATGAGGAAACTGCCTGCACTGGCTTAGGAGATAAGGTCAGGGAGCAACCCGAGGAGGCTTGTTCTAGCCTCAGAACACCATGCTGGCCTTGCTGGTGGGGAGAGAGGGAAGGGGGGAGAAGGGAGGGAGGGAGCGAGGGAGGGGAGGAGCAAATCTTTTTGAAGGGCTCCTTCTGGCCCATGGGCAAGCTGCCCATCACCCTGCCCACAGCCCCGGGGGAATCTGCCTCTGGAAGTGCTTCGGGCAGTTTCTCAAACGTGAGAACGGAGGGTCTGTTAAAATACAGATCTTAAAGCCTCCTGGAGCCGAGTCTCAGGTAAGGGCAGGAATCTGCATAATTAATGGCTGCTACATCCCCCCTCCCCCCCTCTGCCCACAGGAGGTTTAGGCCCTCTGCCCCCTAGAACCACAGAACTGTGTGGGGTGACAATGCATGAATTAGCCTCAGGGGAGGCTAATTGTTTTCTTAATTGGCTGAACTCCCTATGGGGAGCCCTGCCCAGAACGGCTGTCGCTGCCAGGCAGGGGGACTGGTTTGCCTGGTGTCCAATAACCGGCTCCGGTGACGGTTCCCCAGGAGGAGTTTAGGAAGTGTTCCCAGCCGCAGCAGCTTGTTAGAACAGAGAGGGCGTGCTCCCAAGGAGGTTCCTGTGGGCTCTGAGGAAGGACGTTTGAGAGGCATGTTGGGGTCCTACAGATGGCATGCCCTGCGCTCCGTTCCCACAGCCCCCCTCCACCAGCACAGCCCTGGTCCTGCCCGCCCCTGACCCTCTCCACCACTCCTCCGTGCTGTCTCTCAAACCCTTGCCTGGCCCTCCAGGGGTAAGAAGCCACCTGGAGATGAAGACATCGCAAGTGAGGGAGTTCCCACAGGCCNAGCTTTTTCTTTCGGATCTTTGACTATTGCACTTGCTGAGCTCTGATTTTGCTTTGCCCCCCAGCCTCCCTCGCTGGGTCTTGGCTTCCGTCCTGCTCTGTTCTGCCTCCTTCTTCATCCTTGGAGTTTCAAAGCTTCCATCCTGAGCCCTGGTCCAGGGTCCACTCCACCACCCTCAGCCCTCCCTGACAGAGCCCCTGGCCCCCTTGCCCTGATGCCCACAGGTCCCCACCCGGCTTCCCCTGGCCTTTGCCATCACTTGACCAACTGTGGCCCCTCCTTGTCAGTAACTTGTGAACTTGGCACAGCTTCTCAGATCCCCGGCTCCCTTCTCTGAAAACATGGGAGCTGCCAGCCCCACAATGTTCTGTGCTCAAGGAAGAAAAGGGTTGAAAAAAAATGCTGGGCAAAGCTGGGATTTGCTAGCAAATGAGGAAGCTTGTGTATCACTAAAGACATGGGATGCAGAGCGCTTAACCAGCACTCAGTCAATCACCTTTACTATCAGGAAGGCTGAGCTGAGGGGCAGTGACATCAAGGAAGGAGATGCCACCTTATTCCCAGCCACTCCAACCCCGTCCCCTCCTACCCCTGCCCTTCCTATCTGACCTCCAGGGGGCACCAGATCTCCACCTAGTGTGGCAAAGGAAGACAGCCAGGGGCTGTGGGAGCTGGGGGTGGGGGGTGAGGGAGGGAGATAAAGGGGCTGGCAGAGGGCAGGGCACCCACCCAATGTCACTGTCGGAGCCTCACTGATATATTGCTAGGGTGCAACACCTAGAGTCCTTCAAGACTCAGAACATCCCTAAGTCGCCACATTTGCAGAAAATGGATGAAAAGCTGATCAAACAGACGTTTGATGCCAGGATGAAGAGGAGCTGTGTCCCTCACCGCGGAGTTGGAGGCAAAGTGCGGGCTGGAGTTCTGACAGCTGGAGGCGGAGTCTTTCGTCATCCATCAAGCCTGAAAGGGAAAATGAAAAAGCCTCCACCCTGTCTCTCCTTCTCGGAGCCTGGCTGATGCGGCACGGGCCAGCGGGCAGCGTGCCCAGGGTGTGCAGGGGCAGGCAGAGGCAAGGGCGATGGGGATCCTGGGGCCCCGCTTGCTGGGAAACCACAGTGTAGTCTGGAGTTTGGCTTAGAAGCCTGATTCAGAAATAGCACCCCTTCTCCATGCCTGGGGAGATAGATGAGCTCCCAGAACCAGGCTCCTGGGGCCACCCCAGCAGGACTCCGAATGACAGTATTCCCCAGATGAAGCTGGCTGCCTTACAGGGAGAAGAACCCCATACACAGCCATGGCTGCTCACAGTTCACAGGCACGGCTCCTTATGACCTTCCCTCCCCTCATCTGTCTTTCAAGGCAGGGAATATGAACCCCGGTCACCTCACGGATGTGGAAGGTGAGGCTCAGAGGGTTCTCACAACTTGCCCAAGGCTCCACAGATAGGCGGTGGCACGGCTGTGCTCTGAACCCAGATCTCCGGCCTCCAAGCCCAGACTCAGGTTCCTCTAAGGCAGAGGCCAACCCTCCCTGAAAAGGTAAGGCTGGGCCTTCTGAGCTAGATCCAAAACTAGCAGGAGTTTGGCTGCTGCGTTCTCTTTGGGGGCACTTGCTCTGGAAAGGCCAAGGAGTGGCCTGGCCTTCTCTGCCTGGATGTACCTGCTAAGTCAGCGCCATTCAGTAAGAACAAATTCTGGTTTTGCCACTGAATTGCGGTGGGTTCTTACGGTCACACATTTCTGTAAAGTTTGCAAATAAGAGACATTTTAACCTCAGTTATGTCTCTTTTCCACTCCTGTCTTTGTTCATCAGTGGGAGTGTTCCTANGTGGCTTCATAATAAAAGGTTGTTTTATTTCTCTCCTTAGCTCTTTGTTGTGAACCAGCTACTCCCATTGTGGTTTCAGAGGTGTTAAGATTGCTTGCTTCTTAAGAAAAGTCACCTTACTTTCAATTGATTTGTGCTTTTTTTAAAATTTACTTTTTTGGGGCTTGCTTTCTTTATTCATTGTATTGGTTTCCTGAGGCTACCATAACAAAGTACCACAAACTGGGTGGCTTGAAAGAACAGACATTTATTTTCCCACAGTTCTAGAGCTTAGCAGCCCGAAACCAAGATGTCAGCAGGGCCACGCTCCAGCCCACGGTTCTGGGGAAGGATCCTTCCTTTCTTCCTCTAGCGTCTGGTGGCCCTGGGTGACCCTGGGCTTGTAACCACGTCACTCCAGTCTCTGCCTCCATCTTCACAGGGCCTTTCTTCCTGTGTCCCTGAGTGTTCCCTCCTCTTCTTACAAGGACACCAGCCACTGGATTTAGGGCCCATCCTAAACCCAAGACGATTTCATCTCGAGATGAAAGGAACTAATTATATCTGCAAAGACCCTACTTCCAAATAAGCTCACAGTCACAGGAACAGGGGGTCAGTCCTTGAACATATCTTTTTGGGAACACAGGCAACCCACTGCATTCGGTAAGACCATCTTCGAGGGGACAGAGGTAAGCTGGAGCCTTGATGCTCACTGCTGGCCCTGCAGCCTTCACTGTCCTCTGCCATCACTCCCAGACCTGGGCCAGGGCTCTCGCCTAGCTCCTCTTCCGGCCTGGGGGCGGGGCCTGGGGAGGTGAGCTGGAGCTGTCCACTTAGCAGCAGTGAATCACAAATGTCCCCTTCCTAATGAACCCCATTGCTTCTCCCTCCTTCCTTCTCCAGCAGTTTCCCTGTGGTGTCCGGTGTTGAAACAGCTGACAGGGCAAAATGAGAGGGAGGTGATTATGGATTAGAAAAGCACCTGAGGGCCGGCCGAGTGGCGCAATGGTTAAGAACTGGCTTGGGATGCCAGAGGGTCCCGGTTCAGATCCCACATATGAGGGCCAGTCACACTGCCCTGCACAGCTAAGATGCTGAACAACAGCTCAACCTGGAGCTGGGCTGCCGTGAGTCACTGGCGACAGTGTAGGCTGCAGCCCCTGCTACATTGGTTTGCCATGGGCTACCGTGTGTGGCCAGCAGGAGTGGCCGTCCAGAAGCCGGCGACTGATGTGCCTCGCCC